CAAGAAGAAGGGGGAAAAGAGGCGGCGGCGCAGCCGCAAGGAGAGCTACTCTATCTACGTATACAAGGTGCTGAAGCAGGTGCACCCCGACACCGGTATCTCCTCTAAGGCTATGGGTATAATGAACTCCTTTGTCAATGATATCTTCGAGCGCATCGCTGGCGAGGCTTCGCGCCTGGCTCACTATAACAAGCGCTCCACCATCACTTCACGGGAGATCCAGACGGCCGTCCGGCTCCTGCTGCCCGGTGAGCTGGCCAAGCACGCCGTCTCCGAGGGTACCAAGGCCGTGACCAAGTACACCAGCTCCAAGTAAAGCAGCCGCACCCGGCTGCAGGAACCCGCTCGGCTCAACTCAACCCAACGGCTCTTTTCAGAGCCACCCACTTAATTACTAAAGAGCTGATCTTGCTGCTGAGCCGCCTCTTTTTCTGGTCTTTTTGAGGATTGTAACGGTTTGTAGATCGAGTGGTGGTGGGGGGAGGTTGGGGTAGGGTACGGGAGGTTTTAAAAAGTGTCTTTAAAATGGGTTATTTTTCTGGGTTGTTTTTTTAATAAACTGCGGTTTCTAGGCTGCACTTCAGGGTTTCTCCCTTTATTCAAGGCGCCTGTAGCCATCCCCGGTCGGGGTTACCGCTTTCGCCTTCAAACCGTTGCTCTGCTCTGATTGGTCCCGGCGGACGCCAAACGTCACCTCGCAGCGCGGGTTTCCCTCTGGTCCGACTCCGGACTATTTAAACCCTGTGGGCGGGGCTCTAGAGCTTGTTCTGGGTGTGGGGCCGGAGAGAGGTGCGTGCTGTCGGGGCGAGCGCGGCGCTGGAGGCGCGGGCACGTCCCCGGCACAGAGAGCGTAAGCGGTAGGTTCCTATAGGTATGCAGCACCTATACGGTGCGTGGGGGTGTTGTGCTCTGCCTCGGATTTTACTGCTCAAAAGTGCTTTCGAGAACTGCTTATTACCGTTAGTCTTATTTTGGTTTTAGGGCAGCACCGTGTCTTTTCTGGACTATTAAAATGTAGTAACTCAGTAGGAAAAAATTGTTTGTGGTAAGTGTCATTAGTGAATGCTTAGTGCTGTGGTTGGGTGGGGAATGCCACCCCCCTCCTATTTTCTGTCCTTAATGTTTGCCTCCGGCAGGGACTTGTTCTTTTT